TGTCCAGGGAGAAATTTGTTGCTGATTCTCAGGCCTGAGCCACACCTTATCTCCCACATCTGGCTGCCCCAGACCTATGGCGCTTAACCCCAACCTACAGGACTCATCTCAGTCCCTTCTAGCAGTCCCACCTCTTCCCTTCCTCCCCCTGCCCACCATCAGAGAAGGTGCTTGCACACCTGTCCTCAGAAGGGGTTGGTTTTATCCTGATCACACTTCTGTAGACATTGAGAAAAATACACTGACTACACTGTGAGTTATTTCTCTGGAGAGTCCTGCGACAGTCCTACATTGGCTTGTCTCACACATGGCATAGTCTACCCATGTCTTCCTTCAGGTCACAGAGTTCCCCAGGCTCTGCTGGTCCTGCTCTGGTTCATGGTGATAGAATTTCTCACTCAAGCTGGCTGAAACAGCAGAGATATGATGACCATTTCCCTTTCCTGGGTTTACAGCAAGAGGAGGTTGCTCTGGAGAAGGTTTATTCCAGACCTCCCCTTGTAGGAGTCATTGAAAATTTTGTATTCTGTTGGGCACCTGAAAAGACATGGTGAGATCACAGAAAGGCACTGGTTGGGGGAAAGGTATGGAAGAGAGGTGCAGTTAGGGGGCTACATTTGAAAGAGTGAGGAGGGGCTGGGGATTTAGCTCAGAGGCAAAGCGCCTGCCTGGCAAGCGCAAGGTCGTGAGTTCGGTTCCTGGTACTGGAGGAAAAAAAAAAAAAGAAAGAGTGAGGTATGAGACCAGGGGAGGAGCCTTAGAGGGAGGAGCCCAAGGGAAGAAGAGAAAGTACTCGTGGGGGTCTACTCACCTTGTGTGTGAACCAGGTTTGAGAAAAGGGGCCTTCCACTAAAGCTCTCTTTGTTTTTGTCCTGTGTGGCTGAATATCCAACCCATTCACTAGTAGTTTTCTTTCCATCTCAAGTGTCTGAGGTGTTTGTTTGTTTGGTCTAACAGCAGCCTTCTGACTTCGTTTTCTACATCCTGCCCAAGACAACGAGTGGCCACACGTGGTCTATCAGGATTAAAGAAAGAAGGGACTCTCTCTTAAAGACTGGTTCTGAAACAATTGAACATACATATGCAAAAAGTAAACCACAATCTATGCTATATCTATCACTACATATATCCAATAATTTAGATATGTCTATGTCTTTCTTAGACTTCCTGTGGCTGGGAGAAAATACCAATCCATTGTCAGTGAAAAGAGGAGAGGTGGATTTTGGCTCACAGTTTTCAGAGGATTAAGTTCGTGCTTTGTTGGCTCCATAGCAGATCGTCATCTCCATAAGAGTTTGTGGAATAGAAATGCTGCTCATAACATGGTAGCTAAGGAGAGGGAGAGAGACAGACACAGAGACACAGAGAGACAAACTGACAGAGAAACAGAGAGACAGAGAGACAGAGATATCATGTGCCAGGGAAAATACCCACTTTGCAGTCACACCCCAAGTGACTTTCCCCTTCCTACCCAGCCCAGCACCAAACATCAACATTTTAGGAAAAATAGTCCATCTAAATCACAGCACTCCTCCTCTCAACCCTAAGAGGCTCCTGTATTTCACTTCATTCATTATACAGTCAGCCCAATTCTAAGATGGCCAAAGTCTTAATAATTCCATTATTGTACAAAATTCCAAGTCCAAATTCTCCGCATGGGACTCCATGTAAACTCTTGGCTGTGAGCTCCTGTGAAAACCAAAGAGAAAGTAAAATACTCTCAATATTACAAGAACACAGGATAAGCATTTTCATTCCAAAAGGGAAGAATGGGGATAGAATGGAACTGGATTAAAGCAACCTTCAAACTCAACAGGGCAGCATTCAGTCCCATCGATCCATGTCCAGCAGGCAGGGCGAGGTGTGGAGAAATGTCTGCTCCAAAGTGCTCAGGCAGCTTTTCCCCTATGGACTTTTCCTTCAGAGCCCACATGTTCTTTTCCTTGGGCTGGCTCCACTCTGTGCTTATGCTTTCCTTCAAAAGAAAATCCATGTACTCAGGAACTCTAACTTCCTGTGTTCCTCATGGCAAATGTCATTGCACTCTGAGAGTCATACACTGCCCCCTCATGATATCTTGCCTGGGACTGTGACTCTGTCACACCTTTTTCTGAAATTTGGGTGGAATCCTCTCAGACTTCATATCTCCTACTTTCTGCCTACGTGAAATCCCAGCACCATGTGAATAATAAAATTGTTCTTCCTCATCTTGTGCAGAAGCCAGGCCCCCTTCACATGTGGCTACCAGGGATCTGGATGGCTGAACACAGGGATGTACTTCTTTAGGCAGTCCTGAATGAGCAGGCGACCCGAGGACTCTCTGCTCAAATGAAAGCTTTGCAGTTTTAGACCCTTGATCCTACAGTGGCTGGAGACTTGGTGATTTCTGTATGTCTTTAAGGTATTTTTCTTCTTGATCCTGTGCAAAGTACATGGCTCCTTTTTAAATCAAATATTTTAGCAAATATTACCTCTTTTGCCCCAAGGTTGCAAGGGCTTCTGTGTGGTGATACAACAGAACTTCCAAATCACTCACCTGTGCCATTGCCTCATGGCACTCACTACAGATTTTCCTAGTGACATTCAGCAATAATGTGACACAACTTGAACATTGCCTGGGCCTATATTTCCACCTCCAGTTTTCTTAGCATCCCACAAAATTGTAGGACATCAGCAAACCATAGACAAATTTTGTGCCAGAGTTCAGTGCATATGGCATCTAGTACACCTGCCAGTGTGGCCCTTGTTCCCAGCTGAAACCTCTGAAGCCTGACGCATACTTTCTGCTTTCCTATCATGTTTCTCTTTTCCTGTGCTCTTACCATGTTTGCACATCAAGCACTGCTCACAACATTCCAGGGCTTCCCCACTGTACATCTCCAAACCTTGCCATAGTCCCTGTGCAAACCACTTCCAGAGATTTTTGACAAGTCAAGTTCAGACATAGCCATGGCTCTAGTCCCAGCACCAGTTTTCTATATTACTTACTTTCCTATCACTGCAACTATATACTAAAAACTTGTGTGCTTAAAGGAAGAGCACTTTATTTTGGATGAAAAATTCAGTGGGTTCAGTCCATGCTTGTCCTACTCAAAGACAGAGATGGCATGCATAACGGCATTGCTAAGGAAGGTGGTCATGCCTTGGCTGTGAAGAAGAGGCCATGAGTGAGCCAGGGGTGAGAAAACCCCTACTACATACACCCAAGTGAGCCCCCTTTTCTAACCAGTGCCCACCTCCAATTGGGAGGCATTTGGGGGATATTTTAGATCTCAACCATAACATTGTCATGTTACAGAAAGAAACAAAAATTTGTAGACAGCAGGAAAATGGAGATATTGTGATGGCTTTAGAGACCATGCTAATAACCACCTGAACGCAACCCAGTGGGTGTGGACTGGCTTCATAACAATCACTATGTGACAACGTATAAAGAATGCAGTAGAGACAGAATAGCAAGTTTAACAGTAAACACCGTATACCAGCATCGGTTACTCCATAATCAAAGACGAGTCTCTCCTTCAGCCTCATGGGACTCTGGGCCTCAGGTCCTAGCTCTGGGCTGAAAAGGTTGAGGTTCAGTTCTGGCGTCATCCAGGATACCCCAGGAACCAAGGAGACGACCTCAAGGAGGATGCAAGGGACCTAGAGAGTCATTTTCTGCACCTGTGGACACCTTCCAAGATGTGACCTCTACTGACTGCGGAGTAGTTCAGTTAGAAATAAGTGTGGAACTTTATCTGAGTTCGTCGGCCCAGGGGACGGGAGCAGAGAGGATCTGGGCACACTTAAGCTTAAGGTGAGAGGAGACAATGGGGGGTCCTGAATGAGCAGAGAGGGGACCACCCACTCACAAGAATGGGGACCTCATGGTCACCTCCCCTCAGCCTTACACCTCTGGGGTCACAGGCCGATGGTGGCCTTGGATTTCAAGATTCATGAGCAGGTCAGCAGAGAGGAAGTGTGAATCCCTGGGCACACCCCAGACGAAGGAGGGCTTCTGTAACCGCGTCCTTCTCTCTGAATCCTGGGGAAGGCCCATGCGGAGGTGTGCGGACGTGCTGCATCTCATTTCTGTCCGCTTGAGCCAGGGAGATCTCACTGTAGTGCGCACTGGGTCCCCAGGTTAGCGGAGGAGCCACTCCTCATCAGCAGAGGGAGGAGGCGAGGACCCGCCAGCAGACCCTGGGTGAGGATTGAAGGGGTTTGTGTTGTGATACATAATAATTAAGTTCATAGTGGAAACTTGGTACCTGTACAGGACATAGATTTTTTTTTATACCATTCCTCTCTCTTCCATCCCACTCGAAGCATTTATTGCACCCTTTTTCTCAGAAATATAAATAATATAAATATAAACAGAAATATAAATATATATGTACATGCCTATATATGTGTATCTATATGTTTGTAGTATGCAGTGATCACAGTCCTCACAGTGACTTTGTGCTCTTTGTATTTGGGGTTCTCATCTAAAAAGAATCCATGCACTCTTTAAGCTTCTGTGTCTCATTCACTTCCCTTACCAGGACGGTCTCAATTTGCACCCATTTTCCTATCAATAATTCGAGTTTATCCTTCTTTACGGCAGAGTAGTACTTGTTTGTTTCTGCATACTACACTTTCTTTATACGTTCATCTGCTGTTGGACATAGAGACCTCTTCCAAGATTTGCCTGCTGTGAATTGTGCTGCTCTAAACATGGGTATGGATGGATCACTGTGATGTGATGACTTTAATTATTCAGGGAAGTTACTTAGGAGAAAAATAGCTGAGTCAAATGTAATTGCTGGTGTTGGTGTTTCAAGTCATCTCCATACCTATTCCCACAGTGATTGTACCAGGTCATACTCTCAGAAACAACAGAAAAGTTTCTTTTTTCTGCACAGCCTGCCAGCATTTTACTATCAGTTGATTTTTGAAGACAACTATTCATTCTTTCTGGAGTGAGAGGAGGTCTCAGTGTTCTTTTAGTTTGCATTTCTTGAATGGGTGCCAATGCTGAACAGTTTTTCATGTGTTTATTGACTATTTGTACTTCTACATCTGAGGAGTGTCTTTCATTTCAGGTACCCAGTTTTCCATTCAGTTTTTAAACTTGGGGTGGGGGCTAATCTTTTGAGTACTGCTTTGTAGTCTGGATATCAGTCCATTGTCTGAGGAGTAGCTGGCAAAATGTTTTTCCATTCTGTACGTTGTCTTTTTTTCCCTGTTGGTGGATTCTTTTGCCGTGCAAAAGCTTTTTAGTTTCATACGGCTCCATTTGTTGCGTCTTGATATTATTTTTTGTGTAACAAGGTTCTGCTCAGAAAGTCATTGCCTACCCCTGTGTCCTCCCGTGTTTTACCTAGTTTGGCTTCCAGCAAATTAACAGTTTCTGTTTTAATATTTAGATTTTTGTTCCATTTTGAGTTTTTAATGCATGGTGATAAATATGGGTCAAGATTCAATCCCTGGCATATAGATGGCCGGATTTCCCAGCACCATTTGTGACAGATGCTATCTTTTCTCCAGGAAAACTATTCAGAGTCCTTTTCAAAAATAAGCTGAGTGTGCTGGGAGTTGACCAACAATTACTCTTTTTCTTTTGCCAGTATTATGCGGCTTTCATCACTATAGCTTTATATAACTTCAAACCTTGGACTGTGATATCTGCTGCCTTGCTCTTGTGGCCTGGGACTGTTTTTGCTGTTCTAGTGTCTTCAGGTTCCATATGAATTTCAGGATGGTTTTCTGTAGTTCCTTGTGAGGAATGTTATTGGTATTTTGAAAGGGACTGCATTAAATCTGTGCAACAGTTTTAGAGTTATGGCCGTTTGGGCTGCCTTCATTCTACCTATCTAGAAACATGGGATATCTTTTTATTTTCTGATATCCTCTTTGATCCCTCTCTCTCTCTCTCTCTCTCTCTCTCTCTCTCTCTCTCTGTTTCTTAGAGTACTGTAGTTTTCATTGTATAGCTTTTTCACTTTTTAGGTTAATTCATAGGAATGTAATTTTTCTTAGAAAGCATTGTCCCCCAATTTCTTCCTTGGTAAGATTGTTATTGACATACAGGAACACTACTGATTTTTGTGTACTGACTTTATATCCTGCTATGCTTCTATATTTGGTTACTAGTTCTGTGAGACTTACAGTGGAGTTTTGGGGGTCTTCTATACGAAGAATCCTGTCAACTGCAAATAATGATAATTTAATTTCTTCCTTCCCTATACATAGCCTTTTCATTTCTGCCTTCTTCCTGAGTGCTGTGGGTAATGTTTTCAGAACTATGTTGGGCAGGAGTGGGGATAGTGGGCGTCCTTGCCTTGTTCCTGAATTCAGAGGGATAGCTTTCAGCTGGCACTCACTTATTATGATGCTGACCAGGGGTTTTTCATAGATGACTTTTATCAGATTGAGATAGGTTTCTTCTCTGCCTATTCTCTTCAAGGTTTTTATCATGAAAGGATATTGTATTTTGCTAAATGTTTTTTTCCATGTCTGTTGGTATGCTCATGTGGTTTTTGCCAAGACATCTAGTCAGGTGATGCATTGCCTTTATTGATTTGCACATGTTGAAACGTGCCTGCATCCCTAGAATGAATCCTGTTTGGTCTGATGTATGATCTTTTTAATGATTTTTTACATTCTTTTTGCCAGTACCCTATTGAAGATCTTTGTATCTGTGTTCCCTAAAGAGTTTGGCTTGTGTTTTCTTTTTTCGGGTTGTGTCTTTTTCTGCTTTTGGGATCAGGTTAATGCTTGCTTCCAGGAATAACTTTAGGAGTTCAGCTTCCCTTTCCATTTTATTAAACATTTTGAGATGTGTTGGCATGAGATCTCTCTAAAGTTCTTCTAGAATTCAGTAGTGAATCCATCAGTACCCAGACTTTTCTTAGTTGGTAATTTTTTTATTACTTATTTAAGCTTATTGACTGATATGGTATTACTCAGAATTTTTATATCTCCTTTGTTCAGCTCTTGTAGTTCATGTGTCTAGGAATTTGTACATTGTTTTTGAATTGTCAATTTTATGAGAGGACAGATTCTAATAGTGTACAACAATGATCTTTAGGATTTTAATAGAATCCACTGTGAGTTCTCCTTTTTCATTCCTAATTGCAGAGTTGGGTCTTCTCTTTCCTTTTTTGGTAAGATTGGCTAGGGTTTTGTCCATTTGGTTTATTCTTTCAAAGAACCAACTCTTTGATTCATTGATTCTTTTATTTTTCAGTGTCAATCTCATTAATTTCTTCTCTAATCTTTGTAATTTCCTTCCTCATACTAATCTTGAATTTGCATTGCTCTTATTTTCCCTTGAGTTGTTTCATCTAGTTATTCATTTGTGCTTGCTCTGTTTTTCTGATGTGTGCATTCATCACTTTAAAATTCCCTCTTCAGACTGCTTTCACTGTGTCCCAGACAGTCCAGTATGTTATTCTGGCATTATTGTTTGCTTCGACAAACTCTCTAATGTCTTACTTGATTTCTTCCATGACCCACTGATTATTCAAGATTGTACTGTTTAATTTCTGTATATTTGCAAACTTTCTGTGGTTTCTTTTTCCATTGATTTCTGGTTTTATTTCATTAAAATCTGATAATATGCCCGGAATAATTTTGACTCATTTGCATTTACTTAAGCATGCTTTATGTGCTAGCATGTGATGTGCATTGCCTAGAGTCCCATGTGAAGATGAAAGGAATGTGTATTCTACTGTTGGTTCTTTGGCACTCTGTAGATACTTATTAAGTCAATGGGTTTGGGGTTGGGGATTTAGCTCAGCGGCACAGCGCCTGCCTGGCAAGCTCAAGGTTGTGAGTTTGATTTCTGGTACCAGAAAAAAACAAACAAACAAAAAGTCAATGGGTTTGAAGTTTTGGTTCCACTTTAATATTTCTTTCTTGATTTTTTTTTATCTATTTCATCTATTTGTGACAATAAATTATAGAAGTCGCAGACTACAGTTTTGCTCATATTTATTTAATTTTTTATATCTATTACTCTTTGTTTTACAAAATTAGGTGCATCAGATTTTGGTGTATATGTTTATAATTTTTAACTCACGATTTTGAATTGCTCATTTCACCAGTATGTGGTGGCCCTGCTTGTCTCTTCTGATTAGTTTTGGTTTGAAATCTAATTGTCAGGGGTCTGGGGACTTAGCTCAGTGGCACAGCAACTGCCTGGCAAGTGCAAGGTCATGAGTTCGATTTCCGGTACCAGAAAAAAAAAAAAAGAAATCTAATTGTCAAAAATTAAATGGCTGCTGTTACTTTTTCTGCAGGTTTCCATTGCATGGAAAATTGTTTTCTATCATTTGATTTCTAATCTGTGAATTTCCTTTTGAATTAAGTGTGTCTCTTTTGTACTGCATAACCTTCAGTCTTGTTTCTTGCCACCTTCTGCCAGTCTGTGTCATTTGATTAGGGAATTTAAACTGTTCCATTGAGAGTTATTACTGAAAAGAATTGATACCTGCCTGTCATTGCATGAGTTTCCTGTGGCTGATTTCCTTATAGTTTGTTTCCGCTTAGCTGCTCATGCTGCCAGGTGAATTCATTCTATTTGACTGATTGGTATTGATCAGTTTCACTGTCTCTTTCCTTGATGAATATTGTAAAGCTGAATTGGTGGTCATAAATTTCTTCAGGTGTTCCTTTTCATGGAAGTTACTTATATCCCTATCAATTTTGAAGAAACATTTTCCAGAATATGTAATTAGGGATTGGAAATTGCTACGTTTCAAGCTTGGAACACTTTACTCCAAGATCCCCTGGCCCTTAATTTTTGTGTTGGGAGATCAACCATTATTCGAATGGATTTACCTATATAAGTGATTCATTACTTTTTCTCTAACTGCTTTTCAGATTTTATCCCTGTTATGGACTTTTAGTGTTTTGAGAAGGATGTTGCATGGAGAGGTTCTCTTTTGATTGTAGCTATTTGGAATTCTATATGCCGCAGTTGTATGTATGCTTATTTCTTGCCCTATATTTGGGGAGTAATCTGCTATTTTTTTTGTACACAGGTTTTTTTAAGCCATATGCTCTGTTTTTTTATCTTAAATTATTCCAGTTGCCACTGTTAGATTAGTCCTCTTTGCAACAACTAGCAAGTGTTGCATCAATATTTTATGTTCTCATTTTGTTTTGTTTTGTTTTCTTTTGAGACAGATTCTCACTATGCAGTTCAGGCTGACCTTGAACTTACTTTGTAGCCCAGGCTGGCCTCAAATTCAAAATGATCCTCCTGCCTTAGACTCTTGAGTGCTGGGATTACAGGCAAGATCCACCAGGCCCAGTTTTCTTCTTGGTTTTAAGGTGTCTTTGAATAGTTAGTCTTTAAAAATATCCCTTCTTCTAATTCTGACACTCTGTCCACTCTGGTTGCTTCTGTTGCCCATACTGCCAATGCAAATGTTAGACCACTTTGTCAGTGACACCATTTCGTGGACTCTAATTCTTTCTTGAACTAGTCATTCATGTTTTCCATGATTTTGTTTAGCTCAAGTATATTTTTATTAGTGACTTCTGAAATTTCCTGTTTCGTATTGTTTTTCTCTTTAGTTATATCCTCTGTGACCTCATACACCATCTCCTTGATTTGTTTTCTAACCTTTGGTATCCTTGGACTCTGAGGTGTTGGCTTATGCTATTGTCTCCCTTGATGCCCCCTGGACTGGCTTTGGAGAAGGAGGGAGTCTGGGGGTCATTTTGTTGACTTGTGGTCTCATTTTTCTGTTGTTCTTTGCTTGTTTCTTTTGTGCTAAAAATTCATGGTGTTTTAGTGCACAGTCTTTGTTGCTAGTACAGAGATCTGTGTAGTTAGTCTGATTTTGAGGGATGCACTTTAGGCATAGCTAACTAGAGTCCTTTACCTCTGCCCTAAGATCTGATCACCTCTGTTAATTTAGGAGGGGAGGATGCAGTGTTATCGGCCCAACACCACATTTACTGGGAATGAGCTCCAGTACTGTTAAATTCATGAAGTTAATCTGAGTATTGGCAGACAGAGGAATCCCATCAATAATGGCAATAATAATATGATCCTGGCAATGTCAGGCAAATCAGCTACACTAGTATCATCCAGGACAAATCGGATATTAACATAAAATAAGAAGCAATTACATGTCCCTTTAACCATATAACAGAAATCCACAATTGCAGCATAAATAATAAGAAAACTGATATATTACAAACAGCCTATATGTACTAAATGCAGTCATCATAGCTACTCTAATGGTAGAAAAAAACTCAGGGTTAATTTTATAGAATTAACTACCTAGAGATTAATAAAGCTTAAATGCTATATTATTTAAAATAAAATGGGCTGAGAAAGGGAGAAACAGATCATTCAAATTTGAAACCTTACTCTAGAAGATGTGAGAATGAGGAGAGAAAAGCAGAGAAAAGTGGACCTGGTTATGCATGAAAGGATGTACATAGTGTTAGGTACAGGTAACAATAAACAGGGCCAAGGAATGGAAGTCAACAGAAAAAAGAGGAATAAGTGAAAAGAAATTATATGGAGATTAAAAATAACAAAAATGGGAAAATTAGAAGGAAAAAGAAGGGAAAGATGATAAAAGAGGTAAAATGAAGGACTAAGAAAAAGGACAAAAAAGAAAAACCATTATCTGGGATTTTGAGTAAATCCTTTCCGTGTGGGATGCTAAATTTTGGGTCTAGCACTTCTCCATGTTCTCAGAGGTGGGACCCTCTGCTTTTTGCTGGCTGTGGCAATGTCCAAGGCAAGGCAGGTCCTGCTCAAATTGCATGATGAAGAAGACAGCTGGACCTCAGATCCATGCTGCAGGCAGGCAGAAAGAAGTACAAGGGCATAAATATACAAGGCTGAGACTTTCAAGTCCAGGGCATCTTAGGTTGGGCCTGGCCTTACTTGAAGAACAGTCCCTGTGCCCTTCCCAGCTGAGCTCAAAACCCTCAGGGGCCTCTTTCCAGCCCTCCCTGTCCAAGGCTGTTTGCCCTGCTGTCTATCCCCCCAACTTCCTATGGGAATGTAACACTGGAAACCTTGAAGTCAGGCTGTTCTGTGGCTCTTCTGAGCTCCACGTTTGAAATCTCAGCACTTTCCTGGAATGGCACGCAAGGCCACTTTCTCTCCTGCGATATGACAGGCACCTGAACAAGGGTCACTTGCCCACTGTGGCCTGTGTAAGGGAGCGGTGGGAGCAGAGCTCCCCACCGTCCACAAAGATCACAGCAACTGCCAGTCCTTTCATCCCTGGAACCGGGGCTGGGGATTTAGCTCAGCGGCAAAAGCGCCTGCCTGGCAAGCGCAAGGTCGTGAGTTCAGTTCCTGGTACCGGAGAAAAACCAAAAAAAAAAAAAAAAAGAAATCCCTGGAACCTTCTGGAGTCCCCAGGTTTCACTTAGGTTCTCCACATTCATTCCCCTGTCTTGCAAGCCAGGAGGCAGGGAAAAAGTCCCGACAGCTGGGCTCCATCTCCACATGGTCTGTCCTTTAGCTGCTCTGTAGTTTTAATTTTCTTGTCAGTCCTTCCCTGATGCCCAGTGATCTATGTCTTTTTTTGTCTTCCTCAAGAAGTTATTTTCCAGAGTCTGGATTCCACATCTCAGAAAGGCTGAACTGGTGCTGCTCCCCACTCTTCCACTTTCAAGGACTGAAGGTTTGAAGTTACCCCACACCCGTAAAAAGAAGAGACCTCCCCCGAGAGCCTGGCTTCCCTGTTAGCAACCTGGGGCCTGGGAAGGAAGGCTGCATGAGGATTGCTCTCATTTCTGTTAGGTGGATGGGGGTGGGAGGACTCAGGGAGGGGAGGACCTTGGTCCAAGTGGTGTCCTCAGGTCAGCAGAGGGAGCCACATATGGCCAGCACATGGAGGACCCCAGGCGCTGACAGACCCAAGTTAGGAACCCTTCCTGAGGACTGAGTGTGTCTGCAGCCCAGAAGCTTGGAACCCACAGAGTCTGCCTGTCCCCTGGGTCAGCCCTGGGAGACCCCAAGTGGCATGCTCACCTCTAGCCTGGGCAGGAAGTTGGAGAGTCTTCAGGAGATGAGGTCTTGGTCTGAAGGAGAGAGAAACGCTCTTTTCAGCTGGGGATGAGGCTCAGGAAAGGGCGGCCCCGACAGGAGGAAGATGCAGAAACTACGGAAGCACATAGGGTTTTCTTAGGGTCTCAGCACTGAGACAGTACCTGACACCTGCAGTTTAAAGAGGGAAATGCTGATTTGGGCTCCGAATTTCTAGAGGTTTCAGTCACAGTGAGCCAGCTCCAAGGCAAAACGGCACGGTGTGTGGGCCTGCTGGGAGAAAGGCTGCTCACCACAAGTCTTCCAGGAGGGGAGAGGTCAGGAATGGGGACATAGCCCTGGGGTCACACCCACAGTGACCCTCCCCTTCCTACCAGGCCCGAGCTCCTAAGGACAAGTCAGTTCTAAGCCCTCATACCCCAGGCATGTTCCAAAGGTCTTAGGGTCCTCCCAGGCATGTTCCAAACGTGTTTGCTCTGATCCCATGTGACATTTGCATGAAATTTAGACTAAAACCATAACAGGGGTCCTGAGTCATAGGAGAGATGGGCACAAGTCTTGCTGTCATCATTGATGTGCCAGGTTCAGGCGACAGATGGGCACCTGCTCACTACTTTAAAAAATGCTGGTGGTCTCAGAGAGTTGAGGGACTTGATCTGAGGGGGTGTCTGCAGGTAACCACAGGGAACCCATCTCTCCAGCAGACATAGTGTCTGCCAAGGTAAAGCTGAGGACCCTCGGGGAAGACTGAGGGTACCTGCCCCAAAACACAGATGGTGGGTGCTCAGAGCACGCCTCCCCTGAGCCGCAGTCATTCCAGCAGCCTGGCCATGGCTGTCAGGCTGAGGCTGCACCCTTAGTTCTGGCTCGTTGGTCTCAGTGAGGTGAAGGCCTTGGGTCAACGGGGCTTGAATGGGGACAGCAGAAGTAGCATCCCAGGGTCTGTCGAGGCTCCAGTGAGGCAGAGGGGACAGACTCATGTGAACACACATCACCCTAGCCTCGACCTGTCCCTTTGTTACCTGCTGTCAGACCCAGGGGACACAGGTGGACTTGCTTTCCTCCATTTCCTCTTTGAATGTCTCAGAAAGAGTGCTGTGGTTTAAAGAAGCGGGGCCCAGGTCATCCCAGGGAGAGTTCCAGACCCAACCATTTATGGAGATAAGAATGGAGCAGGTTCCCTTTCCTAGAACACATGAATTTCTCCACCTCCACCTGTGAACTCAGCAGTCATGGCCCCTATGAGACCCTCGCTGCCTTTTGTTTCCCATCAGGAAGGGACATTTTTTCCTGAGTGTTTGCCTCAGGCCAGCAGAGGGATGGGGTCAGGGCTTTGAGCAGTGAAAACACCATCAGTGGGGACCTTCAAAGTCCAACTCACCCTGTGAGCTGTGAAGGTCACAGGTCTGTGCTTGAGGTCTGCAGCCTGAGGGCCTCCATGTCTCCTACAGGAGCTCCAGGAAGCAGGTCAGGAGGTCTTGGTCTGAAGCAGTGTCCACAGCTCACAGCAGTGGAGGAGGCCCAACGAGTCAAGGTGAGGGGCTGCCCTGATGTGTACCAAGGGGACAGTGTCCCAGAGCAGGGACTGCTCATGGCACCTGGGCTCCATATGCTGTGCTGTCTGCCCCAGAGCCTGTCCTCTGCGGTTCAGCTACAGCCTCATTTCCTGTCCCAGGTTCTCCGGGACAGACCCTCTGGGAAGACGGGAGCCTGTGAGGTCTTAGAGCAGCACTCAAAGCAAAACATCGGGCTTTGTGGAAGCCAGCAAGAGTGCTGGTGTCGGCTGAGAATACTCAGTCTCCCTCTCTCCCCCAGGCATCTGAGTCCTCATCTTGAAGCCCTTGCTGTCCCCAAGGAACGTGAGAACACCTTCATCATAAGAAGAGCCACGCATCAAGCTAGGGAAGGCTTCCAGGCCAAAGAGGGACACGCAGCCTAGTGGGTGTGCAGGTTCTCCAGTCTGAGGGAGAGCAATTGGTTGCCACTGCTTCTTCTGCATCCTCTTTCCCCTGTACCGAATCTCAGGCACACCAGCAGAAGGACCTGGGACCAGGACACCAAGTCCTCAGATTTCTCAGCTGGTCTTCTTTCCCTCTACTGCCATGGCCTCCAGTCAAACAAGCCAATCCAGTGAGGGCTCCATCAGGGAAGAAGATGAGCTTTCACTCATGTCACAGGACCAGGAAGGTTCTGAGTCCTTGCCCCATGTGGTCCTGTATGACAGGATAGATGCATTGGTAGATTTCCTGCTCCACAAGTATAGGAGAAAGGAGCTGACTTCCAAGGCAGAAATGCTGCACACTTTCATGAAAGATTACCCGGAGCACTTCCCTCCGATCTTCAACAAAGTCTCAGAGTGTCTGTACATGGTCTTTGGCATTGATGTGAAGGAAGTGGATCCCCCTGGGCAGATATATGTCCTCGCTCCTGTCCTGGGTCTCACCTATAATGACAGAGTAGGTGATGACTACAACCTTGCCAAAACCGGCCTCTTGATAATGATTATCACTGCCATCTTCAGAAAGGGCAACCACGCCAGTGAGACCATTATCTGGCTTGCCCTTAACAGGATGCAGGTGTTTGATGGGAGTGAACATTTCATCTATGGGGATCCGAGGAAATTTATCACTGAGGATTTGGTGCAGGAAGGGTATCTAGAGTATCGGCAGGTGCCCAATAGCGATCCTGCTCTCTATGAGTTCCTTTGGGGTCCGAGGACCCGTGCTGAAACCACCAAGATGAAAGTACTGGAGCATTTGGCCAAGGTTAATAAGAGAGATCCCTGGTCCTACCCACATCTCTATGAAGAGGCTTTGAGCGAGGAGCTAGAGGCTGCCCGTGCACGACGTGCAGTCAGGGCTACTGAAGGAGCAAGTTGCAGGCCAGGGACAGGTTGTGTTCACAAGCCAAATCACTAGCTTAGCCCCTGCCCATGTAAAGTGATGCCCATTCGTCAGTGTGTGTTTGAGGAGAGCAGCAGGCCTGCTCAGTAGTGATGAGCCAGGGTAGGGGAAATCCTGGGCATACTTTCTTGATGTTCCTTCTGCTTGGGTTACTTGGAAATTGACAGTTTCCTTCATGAAAATCAAAGAAGCTTGCATATCTTATTTGAATAATAGCATAGATCTCACATCTGTTTTTGCTATTGTTACATTGTTTGTTCACTTTTATTTTTGAAGAAATTATGATTTTCTGTGGTATTGAGCAAATAGATTTTGCTTTTCCTTTCCAAGAGTAAGAGTCTTTGCTGTTTTGTAAAACCAACTAGGAAATCGTCCACTCTTTTGTGATGGGAAACAGATTTCCATAGCACTAGAGTAGGAATTTCCTTATAAATGTATAGAAACTTTAAGATAAATGTTGTCAAGAAATAAAGACATAAAAATAAAGTTCAGTTCTGGACTTCTTATCCATTCTTCTTTTAGTATATACAATTTAAAAATATACAGACACATGAATTCGCTTGGTTTCTTCAATTATATTAGGACAATTTACTATTAATAAAGTGCACCATCTTCATGGACACTTCAGTCCCCAGAATTCATTGCACATGTGCTCTTTGTAAGGCAATGTGTCTGCGGTGGAGATACAAGTACACTAGACTGAGCAGGATCAAACCTGCCCAAAGCATGGCAGAGTCCAGGAGAACCACCACTGTCGGGAAATACGGAGATGTCCTGCAGGATCTGAAGTACAGGTGACAGGGCACTGAGGGGGTGAGGCTAGCAGGGAGCAGCCCTGGGTGAGTGCTGAGTCACAGCAGTTTGAGGGTTGGGGTAAGAGCAGTTCCTTCTGCAGGAGTTGGTTTAATGCAGCTGTGAGGTGGCCCAGCCAGACCCTCACATGAGGACTCTTGGGCCTGAGATGACAGCCTGAGAGGATGGAAGTCTGCTCTGGGCAGCGCTTTTAGATGGCGGGTGAGGCTGAGTGGAATCCTCCCCTGGCACAGCTGTGGGAAGAGTGATTCCATGCAGGGTGCCAACCAGGGGACTTACACCGAGCCTCCACAAGGCTTTTCTGAGAGACAAGGGTGACTCAGACGAAGTGAGGCCCCAAAGTCCCTGGCCAGGTGCTCTCCAGTCAGCTGCGAGTGTCCAGCTTCAAGGGTCTTGCAGTGCCCAGTTGACTGGCTTCCCTGGGGCTAACCTCTGCTCATGAGCCCCGTTTCCTAAACACTCTTCCAACACAGACATCAGAACCTGGCCAGTGGCGTTGGCAACTTGTGCAAGTGGTCAGATGTCTGCCTGACCAAGATATTCTCCTCCAGAGAACCTCCTCAGAGCTTGCAAGAGTCCTCTCCTCTCTTATAACTGGACTTCCATAGGGTCAGTTTTCAGTTGTTTTCTTTGCAAAGAAAGTTTATGCTAGGGTTGCCAGGGTGTGGAATTTTGCTTGAAAATTCATCGAACTGTCTGTTGAGATGGCCTTGTCACTAGAATGACCAGGGCTTTAGGTCCACTTGTCACACAGGCCTCTAAAGCCCCAAGGCTAGACTTTTGGTGAATGTGATATGATTAAAAATAGTTGTTCCAGTGGAAGAGAAGCTGACCGGCAGTGGATATGGTTATTCACCCAGACTCCGGCAGCTTTCACTTAGTCCAGCAAAGAAATTCTCCCCAACATCTAATCGAGTAATACCTCCTAGTGGAGAGAACATGTCAGAGGAACCTTTGTTGAGTAGCCCTTTTCCTTGATTTTCTTTTCAGTTTCCTGGTGACCTGAAGATTCCCTCAGAAACACAAACAAAAAATTTACAAGAAATGTACGGTAGCATCCAGGGTTCAGTTAAGAGAAGAAAAAGGCTTTTATTAGCAAATACTTAATTTCTTTTAGGTATTCTGCTAAGTGTTTTATTACATTTCGCCAGTCCTATAACCAACAAGGTGTGCCAGACCCATTTTATAGAGGACGATCCTGAGGCCTACTGGGCTCAGGAACTCCCAGGATCCCTATGTGGTAAATGACAAGGCCAGGAGCAGACTCTTACTGTGAGGTCATCTATAGGCCACCCTGTTCCCACTCCTCCCAACCTGAACCCAGCTCTGTTTCTGATTTCCATACTTATAGAAAATTGAAAAACACCTCGCAGGGTGTAGGAAGACCCTGTGTGCAAGCCACTGAAACCTGGCCTGAATTCAGAATGTAAAACTGAGCAGGCGATGGGTGCACCCTGCTCCCACGGGAACAGCCCACTCACCTGCCCTGGACCATGTCATGCAGAAGTGCCTTCCTGTCCCGTTACTCACCCTA